ACTTCTTTGTGATAAACACTGTACGCGTGCACCGGGCATTGTCCTGTTATGGGAGCAGTCCACATCACCAATACAACAGAGTCATTCACTTGGTTCGCAGATTTGTTGACCTCAGGGAAACCTGTTGGGTGATGTAAGCCATTGAATTTAAGACAAAACCACGTTAAAATTGCTTCAAATACGTTACAAATAATAAGAGCCTCAGACCATTCAGCTTTTACGTCCAGCTGCTAGATTCGCCACATCCTGTTCGTGGCAGGTGAAGGCATTTGTCGTATCACTCGTACATCGGCTCTGAATGGGGAGGCAAGTAATCGCTTGCCTTCCCAGTTTTTTCCTCGAACGAGACATTGAACAGTGAATTGCGCTCACGCGAGAATTAAACAGAAACTAGACCCCGTCCACAACTGTGGTTTAACTAAACAAGATTAAAAATCAGTTGCTTATACCTTACGTGCACGCCCCACAACCTAACCAGCTAAAAACCTGTTTGATTAAAAATGGTTTGAATTTTTTCTTCTCAAAATAAGTGCAAAGCGTAATCGACAAATTGGAAAAACCTAAACCTGATTTAGTTTAAGTAGTTTAGTTGGTGTGAATGGGGTATAAAACTTTCCTTGCAACTTCAACCTATAGTATTGGTAATAAAAGATCAAAATTGTTACAACTGTTTTTGTAGCCATGGCATTTAATAATGACGTCATTTGCGGATTTAGATCGGGCTAGTTTTAGTAAAATAACAAAGACAAGGCGGTCTTTTAGCCGCTTTAGACATTCACCTAGTATTCAGTGGCCAGAATAGATGGCAGTTTCCTCAGTAATGTGATATTGGTCGCATTTTAGGCATTCTAAGATTGCAATATTATTCGTTAAAGCTGCCTGATTTAGTTTGTTCGAAAACCTTTTCTGTTTCTTTCACAATTTTCACTTATTTCTGCGAAAAGAATGCTGACCTTCTTCGATGCGTCGTTAAGCCATTCACCAACACAAAATTTCAACTGCAAAGTAGGCAGCGTTAAATACTAACAAATGGCAGTGCACACATCAACTTAACAAATACATTCCATGTTCGGTGCCGTGCGTCTGTTCAGTAATAGATCACTGATGACATCAAAATGCGGTAAGAACAAAAACGTGGCACACGAGTGTGTCACTGTGACCGAGTGTGTCACTGACGTCTTTTGTGATCTATTACTGAACAACGCAACAACATGGAATCTACCTGATTTATATAAAAAGACACCAATCAAAATGCATAAATAACGTGACTTATTATATGAAACTTACCTCTAAGTGAATCAGTATAATCATCAGATACTCCATAGTTCAGCAGATAAAAATCCATCACTGATCCGAATAACTGATAATTATTGCTGAGCCGAAAATCAGGCATGTTGCCGATGGTGCAGTTAGGTATACCAAATTTACTAAAAAAGTCTATCCCTTGCCATAATGATGCGTGGTCTTGTTTCTTGCCGTCGATGTACATGGTTAATTCTCTCTTCTCAGCAAGAAACGTTACAACAAAGTGTGTCCACGTTTTCAGTTTGATTTCGTCATTGCTCTGCAATAGTTCAATAAATTCACCCACGCCATGGATTACCGTCAAATGAAAATGTCGGTCTTTTGCCGATAGGTAGAAACCTTTTGACTCACCTTCTTTTTGTCTCATTTCTGCATATATTGTTGGAAACTGACCTTTTGTAGTAAACTGTAAATAAAGCCACATTGAAACTGTAAAGCTTGCGCCTGTGGCGTCTAAGCAAGGAGTTCTGACGTATGATATTGATGTATTGAAAGTCAGTGACTTGCCTTCAGAGCATCGACCAATGCTAACTTCTGACGCATTGTTGGAACTGAAAATCAATAAACTGAAAAATTACGTTTCGGTTTAAAAACTTAGTTGCTAATTAAACGTAAAGCTGTCTGTTTCTTGTTATTTCGATCAGGATATATCTGGACACTACGTTTCATTATATATGGCTAGCTCCGTGAGCAGGCAAGATGAACCGAATCCTGCGCTGTGATTGGCTACCCGAGCGGGCAGGAGGATGCTTGGGATTGCTGTGTACCGCTGTGTTCTTTTTTTGTTGTTGTTGTTGTTTTTTGCGTGTTTCGTCTCGGTCCATAAATACGGGGAAAAATATAGACCTTGGCTAATATCCAGCCATCTTGACCTCACGCTTGGTCAATACCCTATATATACGTTACGACTGGGCAATTATACACAGATTTTACTGGGCGGTTGGTCTGAATGTAATCAAACAGGAAGAAACAAATCGTTGACAATCGGTTAAGGATCATGTCCAACAACACTAGCATCATCAGAATTTAAAGCGCTTCTTATCACAAACACAGCGTTCACGAAGCAAAACTGCCCATGTTCGAGGGAATTTGATACCTTTTCCTTATGAATCAACTGAGTCATGCTACAAAAACAGACACAGTATTACATAAGCCAATCCACAGAACCTTTTCATTCCACTCCTCAGGACCCAAATAAATATGAGGTAAATCCCGCGTCAAGCCAAGTGGTCAGCCGGAGCATACCTCGGACTTTGTAGCATTAAGCGAATGGATGGGTGGAGAGAGGTACCGTGAGAGTAAAGAAGCTTGCTCAAGAGCTAGATATTAGACCACCTCTCCGCCACAAAAAAATATGAAACAGATGCTATCTCAGGTAGGAAGTAGTCACGTCAGTCATTCATGCAAGTCATATTTCTTGGTTTAAAATACTCAGCAGCCATATAACTGACCTAATGTCGACATCACTGCCATCTAACTTCCAGTACTGATGACCTACTGAACCTGAAAATCAAGGAAATAAGCAGAATTTATTGGTCTTTCTACTGAGCAAAAGCGGAAAAGGTTTGCATTCTTTATTATATGGCAAAGCAATTCCAAGCATTGACCACTTACCAAGTTCTAAATCACCAAAAACATTACAACAGCTCTGTGAAACAAAAATAATAATTTTTAACTGAAATTTTTTCAAGGTGAGCCTTGAGTTAACGTCCTCCAGTTTTATTTTTACACTGAGTGAACTCTCCATAAATTTGAATCTAAATAAATTTGAAGTGCGCGAACTCATGATATGCATCAACTCTAATAGAAGGTACCGTGAAAGAGGAAAACGTTCATCTTTATACATTGAGTACGCTTTAAATTTTCAAATACGCCCATAAACAAACTAAATAGACGAATTTATAGAGGATAGGTCACGCAATGTTAAGCAATTTTAGCACTGACCAGGCGGTCAGTACCGTAATATAAAACGGCTTAGAACTGTAGAAGAACTAAAAGAAAAAATACAGAAAAGCCCAAAAGAGGCATGGATGGGCAAACTTGGAGAAAATTTAAACAGATTGCATTTATGTAAACGTGAAAAACATCGGGCCGATTTTTTCAACTTTATCTCGGTTTGTATGACGTATTGTCTAATAAGGTCGGAAATTATCCTGGGTTGTTCTGTGGCTATAAGACTGTTTCTCTGTCAGTTTGAAGGTTGGAGCTCGTAATTACCGGATATAAACAGAACTACCTTAAGTAGCGTGATTTAAACCCTTTAAAAAACATAGGTTCATAGCCAACGTCAAATTCTAAATAAAGAATAATAAATATAAAAAGCCGACACTTCGCTCAATACAATAATTCGTCAGTCTCCAAAAGCTGCGTAAATACGAAGTTGATTTAAGGTTCTTTGGTTACGCATTATTATGAAATTTTAAAACGGAGTGATAATTTTATTTTGGCATAGACGTGGCTGTCCGTGAGCAATGAACTTAGTGTTGTAAGTACGGGATGTGATCTAGCGGAGCACAATAATCAGAATGTCATGCATTTGAATAGAAGTAGAATCACATGTACTGATGCCATGATACTAGACTTTGGACTCGCTAGTGCTGGTTAGTGAAGTGCATCAAGTGATTCGCTCTTTTGAGAACATCATTTCAACGAGGTTGGCAAATGAATACCACATCTTAGTCAATTCCTCATATCATGTCAGAGCGTCCAAGGCAAACATGCCCAGACTGTGCTTACCGCAAGTACAATCCACATTAACATGTTTATACAGCACGTACCACCTGCAAGTAGAAAGCGATATCACTTTACCTTTTGAGTGAGAAAATGTTTAAAAAATGGTCGGGGTTACCAGTTTCCAAAATTTTAACCTCGTTTGTTCTGATAGTAATGATTTTTTTTTTTCATTCTTTTCCTGTGATGGATTGCCTTACTTTGTAATACGATTGCCGCACGATTTTTCTTCTTTATTTTCAATCTTGCAAATAAAGTAACCGAAACTTAAGGTTATGTTCTCGTTATAATGCAAATTACACGATTGCATTCGGCGCAGTAAGCGAGCTGTTTCTCAAAACTAAGAACTTCCCTTGAAATTTCATTATACGGGCGTCTCGGTTTTATAGCATCATTGATTTTGATCCCTGCTTGCTTAAACCCATCATGAGAAATTTTTCTACAAGCTTCTCACTTTTTCTGGATATCAACAATTTCTGTGTATTATGTCTTACTGCTTCCTGTTTGGCATTGCATTTTGATCTGACTCCGACTGCAATTCATCACTCGTTTCTTTTCAA